TATCTGCTTTAAGTAATTTAATATTTTCCCTTGTATATTTTACCTCTCTTCTCAGAGCCAGCAGAAGCACAAAGCTGATTAAATGGCCCAAACATTAATTTATGCCCTTAATATTGGTGGTATTAATTTTGGTTGCATGTGAAGCAAGGAATTAGTTACATATTACTTATATTAGTTACAATTACATATTTGGGTTGTTGGGAGAAATTTGATGTTACTATGATTTGATCACCTGAAACACTGATGTGTTTTAAAACATTTGTTCATTCCACAAATGTGGTGTTAGATTAAAATCTGAGCAGTGTTATATGGGATTTTTAAAAATATTGATAACACTTTTGTTTTGTGTCTTAAAAGCTTATGCGGCACGGTGTAGGCCTGTCGACCAGTTCTGACAGTGAACTGATCACCCAGCTTCTGGCTTTCACACCTCCTCTAGAAAATGACGATACAGCCGACTGGGTAGCAAGGTGAGGAGGATAGGTTTCCGAATCAAGAACAGCAATCTAATCTCAGCATGATATGCAGCTGTAAATGCACACAGCTGTTTGTTTGACATGCAATTATGTTCACTTATGTCTCATTTCAGAATAAAAAATTTAATGAATGAAACTCCAACTTCGTATTCATTGCTAATTATGCATAAAGACATAATCTATGCAGTACGTGATCCATATGGGAATCGCCCACTCTGCATTGGTCGCCTTATTCCAGTAGGGGACATGAATGGAAAAGGTAAACCATACATATATATTCATATACATATACAAATATATATATGTGTATATATATAGTTTGTGCCTGAAGCCACTGATATGAACTTTTCTAGCTGCGCTTACTGAGGTGTAAGTAGGAGTATGTGATGAAAAAGTCAGTTTTGAAAATTCAAAACAAAAAAATACTGGTAAGGAAAAAATAATCTGTAGGAAGTCTGCAGACATCTTTTCTGTTCCCAGTGAAAGGGAATCCTAGTCATCTGATGACAGTGTCAGAATTAGGTAGCTGAACTATAATTGAGTATTTGTGAAAATTTATTTAACTTCTCATCACCCAATCAGGAAAGCAGGGATGAACAGAAGCACAGAAGGGCTGTGGTTGGAAGGGACCTTTGGAGGTCACCTAGTCTAAATCCGCTGCTCAAGCAGGGCCACCTACAGCCAGTTGCCCAGGACTATGTCCAGCCCAGAAACAAGTCTGGTTTCTTCCTTTCTCCTGTAGTAAGATGGCCAAAAAGTTCTAGATTACTGGCAATATATTTCTAAATTCCAAGCACTCTCAGTCACATGTAGAATGGTAATGAAACACTATAAAATCAATTTATGGGAAAAAGTTCTTTGTGTTCCTGTTTAGCCTGCAAATCGATATTTTCTCTCAAGCGAGATTAAAATCTGTTCCTTTGTATAAAAATAAAATAATTCAAAGGCAAAGAAGCAAATGTGTCCATATCTTCATAAAACTTGGTAATTTTAGCTTAAAGAAAAATTATCAAGATTTTTTTAAAAGTATACAGATGTTCCCACCCTATGTTTCATGATAGGATCTTTCCTGTGCCTGTCTCTGAACACTCTCCTTATTGGAGTTCAATCCAGTATTCACTGTAATCAGAAGGATCTCTCTACTGACACATTTAGCATAGGAAAACGAAGGAATTAATTGCCTAAACAAAAGTAATTATGTATATCTAAAGTCACTGAACTGGAATTGGAGAAGTTTGAAATAGTGCAGAGATAACAGAAGTACTTATCTGAATTGCCTCTTCATGAACCGTGAATATGATGCTGTTAGTTCTGGTTCTACCTTGTACAGTTTTATTCTGTATATGTTGGGCTTTTTAAAAATAATATTACAGAACCTTTGGAATGCCAAACTTTCTACTTACATATCACAACTATCTTTAATTGTGCACTTGACAACCTAAACCATAGCAAGGCAGATACTGCAGTAGAAATGCAATGTCTGTGGTAGTAATGGTAACAAGAATTGTGGACTCTAACAGAAATCTTTTATTTCAGGTAAAGATAACAGTGAAACAGAAGGATGGGTAGTTTCGTCTGAATCCTGCAGCTTTTTGTCTATTGGTGCAGAGTAAGTGCCCTGATTCTCACTTAATCTGAAAACTCTCCTCAGGCAGCGATTAAACCTCAGATTGCCAAATGTCCTAATCTGTAACAATGTGAAAGACATCAAGGTTTAGTTTTCGTTGGACTTTGGAGGGAGTTTTTTGCCAGTTCTGGTTTTTGCCTATATCTTTTTTTGGACAGATCTCAAACAGATGTAGACGAATTATGTGTTCAGAAAGCAACAGTAAAGACAACTTTACTGTTGCAAAGTAAATGCCTCTTGTTGCATTAAACCTGGTTATCCATGTAACTATTTTCATTTTAGCCTAGTTTGCCGCAATATTGAGCTATCACAAACTAATACTTCAAGTACAGACAAGGTTGCATTGGTGGCTTACAGGCTGGACTAAGCTGAGCTGTAGTATACACTGTGATGCACCAGCCTCCTTGTGATGAGCACCTGAAACTATTTCCATGTGTGCAAACCCATATCGGACCCAAAACATGAGATGACATTCACATTACCTCTCTAGCTAAGATACTCTGAAAAGAAAGGTGTGATACCTGGACAGGCTGGATCAATGGGCTGCGGCTAAGTGTTGGGTCCTGCATTTGGGTCACAACAACCCCATGCAATGCTACAGGCTTGGGGAAGAGTGCTGCTTGGCTGGGGTTGCTGGTCAACAGCCAACTGAATGTGAGCCAGCAGTATGCCCAGGTGGCCAAGAAGGCCAGTGACATCCTGGCTTGCATCAGAAATAGCGTGGCCAGCAGGACCAGGGAAGTGATCTTTCACCTGCACTTGGCACTGGTGAGGCTGCACCTTAAATACTGTGTTCAGTTTGGAGCCCCTCACTACCAGAAGGACATGGAGGGACTGGAGTGTGTCCAGAGAAGAGCAATGAAGCTGGTGAGGGGTCTGGAGCACAAGCCATGTGAAGAGCAGCTGAGGGAGCTGGGGTTTTTTAGCCTGGGGAAAACAAGGCTGAGCGGAGACCTTATCACCCTCCACAACTACCTGAAAGGAGGTTGTAGCCAGGTGGAGGTCAGTCTCTTCTTCCAAGTAAAAAGTGATAGGATGAGAGGAAATGGCCTCAAGTTGCACCAGGGGAGGTTTAGATTGGATATTAGGAAAAACTTCTTCACTGAAAGGGTTATCAGGCATTGGAACAGGCTAGCCAGGGAGGTGGTTGAGTCACCATCCCTGGAGGTATTTAAAAGATGAGTAGATGAGGTGCTTAGAGACATGGTGTAGTACTGGACAGCTTATGGATGGACTTGATGATCTTAAAGGTCTTTTCCAACCAAATGATTCTATGATTCTATGGCTAGCACTAAATACATGTAGTAAATCAAAAGTATTGACCTTAGATAACAGTACCCCACTTCCCTTCCAAAATAACTAATGCCAAAATCCACAGCATTTTGGGCTTGGAAGTGCAGCAGCATTTGCATGCAATTTTTCCTTCCTGTTCTAATTAGCAAGCATCCCTGCCTGGCACATTTTGCTCAGACTTAAAACAAATCTCACATAGCACCCCCTGCCCCATCGTGCCTTCTCAAATACACAATGTATATGCAGTTTCCTGGAGGACTGATACCAAGGACTACTGGAATAAAAGAAGCGAGGACATTAACTTCTTCACAAAATCTGCTTTGTCTCCCTGCTGCCTTAAGGATGCCTGAGTTACCCTTTGAGCCACTCTCAATCGAGAATCAGAGAGGAAAAAAAGCATGCAAGGGGAAAAAAAAAGAAAATAAAAAAAAGTGAGACTGCTAGAAATGAGAAACAGGAGAGTACCCCCAGACCTAGATTCTAGGACCTCACGCCCTCAGATCCCAACCCTGATCTAGAATCACATGCTGACCTGGAACCTGATCTAGACTCAAGGAGCGATCTAGAACCTGAGCTAGAGCATTGGCTATAACCTCCTCCAGAACCAAGCAGTCCAAACAAAAACAGCAGTCCTGAAACAACAAACAAGCAAAACCATGATTACACTCTGGAACCAACCAGCAACCTGGAATACAATCAATAACAATAATAAGAATTATTCGTTGTTATTAGATCTAGAACCAAGGCAACCCAGAACCTGCTCTAGAACAAGAGCTGGAAGAGGTGATATCTAGAACCTGATCTAGAACCAAGAGGTGAGCTAGAACAAGAGAAGCTTACCATGTAGGACCATCAGTTGAAGTCTGAGTTTTTAAAACATCAGTTTTGACTGAACTTATGCTGTAGCCAGTGCTGCTGCCTCCTAATGCTCGTATCTGACCAGCAAATAAGCACAGATTTTCTCACTTCTGATTTATATCTCCAGCATATATCAATATTTTGGGATAAATTTAGAAATTGTTAGAATAGCGACCTGAGGACTCCCTAGAGAATCTACAAAGATGTTTAGTAAGTTAAATATTGTAACATAATAAATCATACTATTCGTATTTCTTCAGATGTCAGAATCTGAATGTATATTTCCCATCAGCTCTATGTCATTCAGGGGTAGCTGCCTGTCATGTCACCACTAGATAGATATTTCTCTAGATACTGGTTTGTGAGTAAGGATTTTTTTTTTGCTACTATCTTTATTCTTGATTATGTTTTTGATATTGCATTATAATGTTTATTAGCTTTCATAGAAAAGTCCTCTAGTATTGATCCAGGACTAAATTATTAAAATATATTTAACCTCAATTAAGTCCGTACTAGACTGAGTACTATATGTCTCACATATAGGAAGAATACCATAATTCTCTGGTACTATAAATTTACTGTTTTTGAGTATTAATTCAGACTGTTTTAGTAAGAGTCTCTTGTCTTAGTGTGTTGGTCTTAAAACACTCCAGGTCAAATCCTAAGATAGAAGCAAACTGTTGTGTTGGGATGTTCAAAAACATTTTTTCCTGTCAGTTGAATCTTGTTTATATTTCAAATCAATCATCCAGGTTCAGGACATTTCTAAATGCTGTGTGTTTCTTTTTGAAGGTACTACCGAGAGGTCCTTCCTGGAGAGATTGTAAAAATATCCAGATATGATGTCCAGACACTGGATGTTGTACCAAGACCTGAAGGAGATCCGTCAGCATTCTGCATCTTTGAATATGTTTATTTTGCAAGACCAGACAGTATTTTTGAAGGTAAGAGGTTGCAACGTGCAAAGCTCCTCCCTAAATCTGGTAGTGTTAGGTCATAGGCTGGACTTGATGATCTCAGAGATCTTTTCCAGCCTCAATAACTCTGTGATTCTGTGAAATAGTGGGAGATGATATCTGGAAAACAGTGACTCTGGAAAGGATTTGGAATCACAGTACGGTACCACTGAACATGAGCTTGCAGAGCATTGCTGGGACAGAATGGGTTGGTATCGTTCTCGAACACATGAGACTCATCAGGAGGAGCATGTAACATCACCTTCCTGTTCCTGGCTGTGCATATGGCCTCAATCAGGCTGCTGCCTATGGAAGGGATGAAAAGAACCACAAATGTGATTAAGATGGAGGAAATATCCCATAAAAGTGAAAGATTTAAGAAAGGAACTTTACTTGTGCATGAAAAGCTTTTTAAAAATTAGCCTTATGAAATACGATCTGCAAAACAACTTTATCTTGGTGTTTTCATTGCAAAAAGGGTTTATTTCAGGAAGATGCTTCTAATATAACTTCTATATCTATGCATTATCTAAGTACTTAAGAGTTGTCAGTCTAATGCTTTTATTATTATTTAAGTAGAAGCCCTCAAAAAATGTCACAGTAACAAGATATTAGCCAGAACTCTCATACCTAACAAACAAGCTCTTCTTTGCTTTCTATGGACATGGCTTCTATTGATCCTGTATAGTTCCTCACCTTTATAAAGTGAGTTTCACCCCACATTCCCTATTTTCATGATCCTCTTACTCTTCAGTATCCTCACTTCTTACATTCCTTAGTACTGCTGCTGTACCTCATCTCATCACAATACCTCCAGTTCCCTCCCATGCTGTACATTTTTTAGGACCTTGAAAGCTTCTGAGGTCTCTTAACCCCTTACTAAATTTGTAGTGAATTTTGCTAACTGATTCAAAGTTAATAAGCAGGCAGAGGCAGACAGCAGAATTGCACGGACTTCGATGGAGAAACCAGCCTAAAAATAGAATATGCACGTTATGAACAGGCAGGCGTAATTTCTACTTCATGCCTCCTGTACATGGATTTTGTAACATCCACAGGGCCTTTAGGTGCCTGATTAGGGCAGACTGGATTTTAATTCTCTGTGCAGCAATATGAATGTGAATTTAAGAATATGATGCGATGGAAGGAAATAAAAATGACATTATATGAGTGACTGGTTATTAGTTCTGAAGCTTTTCTCACTGACTTCAACTTGCCACAGAAATTTATACAGCAAACTGAGAGGAAATATGAATTATGCTTATCAGGAAAAACACTTCTTGCTGTTCTTAGGTCAGATGGTGTACTCAGTCAGGAGAAGATGCGGGCAGCAGCTTGCTATTGAAGCACCTGTGGAAGCAGACCTGGTCAGCACTGTTCCAGAGTCTGCAACCCCAGCAGCTCTTGGTTATGCTCAACAGGTATATGTTAACTTGCCTCCCCCCCATCTTCAAGCATATTTACACATACCTCTTTTTGTAATGGAGTATAACATTATGGGCCATTACGAGTTTTGTATTGACAAAGCTTTATATCTTAAGTACACCACATACTCCTATTGTGTTATCTGCACTTGCTTTTTCTGTCATTATTTCACTGTATTAAGGTTTCAAAGTTTTTTTGTTACTGTGGAGTCATACTGAATTCTAAGGTTGCTTTAAAAAAACAATAACTGAAAATAACCATTTCTTTAGCTATTAATTTTGTTTAACTGTCTCCTGTTTACAGTGTGGACTACCATACGTTGAAGTACTCTGTAAAAATCGGTATGTAGGAAGAACGTTTATCCAGCCAAATATGAGGTTACGGCAACTTGGTGTTGCAAAGAAGTTTGGCGTCCTGTCTGATAATTTTAAAGGCAAGCGAGTTATTATCATTGATGATTCAATTGTGAGAGGCAATACCATTTCACCCATAATAAAACTACTGAGAGAATCAGGAGCCAAAGAGGTAAGTAAATTTTCAGTCAGTACAATACAGATGTAAATAAAAGAATGATGGGAGTGTAAATCACCTCTTCATTGTCTTCATTTGAACGATACATGGTTTTGTCCTTTAAAAGAGCAATTGTGCAAAAAAACAATGGCTAGTGCATATTTATTGTATAGATAGGTTAAGAATTTTATTTTGTATGACTGTAAATTTTGGGTGATTAAGGGTAAACGTAAAGGTCTCCATTTATAAAGCACTATCTGGCAAATAAAGACAGAATGAAAAACAAATCAGTTAAGATCAGAAAATCAAGTATTTTTGTGGTGTTCCTGACATGTGTGTGACTTGTGGTACTGCATTAAGTAAAACTACTTACTGCAGTAAACAGGCATTTGCCTTAAGTCATCAGAACACTTTTTTTAAAATGGATTAAGATTTTTCAATTGAAATGGAGTGTGCAATTTTTTGCTCACTGGAGCAAAAATGTTCTGTATAACGTTGGACTTTGTAAACTGAAACATGCCCACCAAGGAATGGACACCATAGAAGAACAGCAAAATCAAGATAACACTTTTAATAACACTAGGAAATACTGTAAAAATAAATTCTAAAATTGTTTTTGTCTCTCCTGCTGTGTTGGCAGCTGAAAAAAACTTTATCTTACTTTTAAGCCTTCCATGACTTCTTTGCGGTGCTGTGTTCTGTTCTTCGTGATTAAACTAGGACTTTGCCATTGTGTTATGATCTGCTGACCTTCAGCTTATAGCAGTCTGTTTTGAAACTATTTTTATTCAGGTGCACATCCGTGTGGCTTCACCTCCCATAAGATTTCCTTGTTACATGGGAATAAACATTCCAACTAAAGAAGAACTCATTGCCAACAGACCTGAATTCCATGATCTTGCAAACTATATAGGTAAGTGCTAACTCTTTCTCTTCCTTTTTGTTTGTTTGGTTTTTGGGGTTTTTTTTTTTGAGAGTGAGAGTTTTCACCGTACGTATTTTATTGTCTACGTCAAAGCAAAGCACAACACATCAAGGCAACAGTGGCAGAACTGACTTAAAAATCATAAGGTTGATACGCTAAATCTCTGCATTGCGAATACCCTATGGCTCAAACCAATTTAGCTACACACTTTTTCTAAACACAGTTAGTGAATTATATTTTGCCAAACAGTAGAAAACATTAGAATAATTGTATAATCTTAAGTTACAAATAAGGTGTGACAACACAGCTTTCCAATACTTAAAAGATCCTTCTGGGAAACTTCACAAGGAGCTGCTGTAGGCAAAACACCAGGAAGAAAATAAGTGATGAAAATTTGTCCTGTAATGAAAAGCTGATGTACTTTCACTTTCATGAGATAATAATAAAAATATGTTTGGAATTTGTAAACACCCTCTGATTTTTCTACAAATTTAAATGTATGTAAATAATTTTAACTGGATTGTATATTTCATTTCAAAAGAAATGAACATTTGAAACTAATCAAAGAATGTTAAATACGTTCTCAGATCTCTAGAATGAGCCATGTTTGCAGCAGAACAAAAGAACCAACAGCTTATGTTGTTTGTGATGTGGTAAATAATGTGCTCTTCTTCGTCAGGATATCAGCAACAGAAGTCATGTGAAGGCTTATGAAGGAGATCTACTATATATGGCCTACTGGGCTGCAAAATATTTTTTAAAATGGTTTAAGAACATAGCTGTGGTTACAGTTAGAAAACTGTTAACTTGCATTTCCTGTGTTAAATACTCACTCTTACTGTCTAATATTGCAATGAATTATTTCCCCCAAATTATTGTGAAGGCATGTTAAAATATTTCAAGTCTGTAGGATCTCATTTTAAAGTATTATTCACAAAATAATGAGTGCAAATGATAGAAAATTAATGATGTGAAAAGGCTATCAAACTTTCCTACTGCTAGACCATTTGCATGAACTGCATACTTAGCCTTTCTAACATGATGGTCTTCCCCTCCTCCAAGTCACAGAAAAGATTTGCTGTCCTGGGTGCTCAGTTTGGGAGGCACCAGCCAACATACGTCTGCTAACAGACCCCACCTGCGGGGTGACTCTGGGAAACTACAGGGAGTTTAAGGAGTCTTAATACACACTCCAGAGTTTGTTTCTATTTTTGCATTATGTGGGGTATACTTGTTCCCAACTCTGAACTAGATTTCAGTGAGTCTGCTCCCTGCACAAAGAATTTGAGAAGGGCAAGGCTTATTATGGTCTGGTAATTGTTCATAGCTGTTCTGTTTAGGTAAGGTCATACAGCTCGCATAATCCATCCCATAATGCCACTCCATGTCCAAAGAGCATTGCATTTGGTACAATATTGCAGCTTTAACTGATGAATTCTTTCTTTCCTCTAGGAGCAGACAGTGTTGTGTATCTTTCTGTGGAAGGGCTGGTATCGTCTGTGCAAGAAAGCATCAAAGCAAGACAAGAGAACGAGAACAGCCTTAAAGCCCAGAAATCGCGGCTTGGAAAGATTGGTCATTGCACAGCGTGTCTCACTGGAGAGTATCCCGTGGAGCTGGAGTGGTGAATCCTTAATGGGTGGACATCAGTTCAGCCGTGGTTGAATGTAACTTGTTCAAAGATGTCTCCTTGCTAATAGCCTTTACACATGTAGGTAACACGGAAAGCCTATTACAGCTTACTAATTACTGTTACTAAAACACATCAGTACAGTACAGACTTCCAGAAAGTCCAATGTGCTAATGAAAACAATGGAAGCAGATTAAAATACAAAATCGTATAGTTCTGATGCACAGTTGTGCCTTCTATCTTCTCATATTATAAAAACCAAAGTTGTTTTTAATTACGTAGCGGTCCCAGAGTTTTTTTGTTTCGGCTTTGCCCCAAAAGATATCCCTGTTAGACTTGTTCACAAATTGTAAATCACATGGTGTAATTTCAAATTACAAAGTCGTAATGCAAAAGTACGTGAACTTTGCTTTTCTCCTTAGGAAAAATACCAGATTCTGAAGAATCAAATTCCTTCCTCGGCAGTTCTTGCTCAGGCTTTTTACGAACAGAAGTACCTAACTTTTGCATATATAGCTAAACAGCCTTTATTAATCAAGCCCTTTGTAATAGATTCTATGAGCATAATGTCTAACATATGATTTTTAAAAATGAAGACTCAGGGAAAAGCTCTCTAGTTTTGTAACTTTAAAATTCTTTTTTTGAAGTCCAGTGTAATTACATGATCTTTGTATGCTTTTATCAGTTACCAATAGGATGTGGAAGGACAAAGTATACTTGGCACTGCCTTTTTTTTCTGTTTTGTATTTTGTTTTCCTCAAAATAAGTCCTGACAATTTCTGAAGTCTGAGCTAATGCTCAGTATGCTTTTCATATGCCAACACCCCCAAAAAATAGTCACTTTTCATTTTTAACTGTAACAACAATCTATCAACTGAAGATTATTAGTTGTTTTGGGTGTAGTCTTATTTTACTACATTACTGCTGTGACAATAAATGTAATGTTTTCTTTAAAAAGTTCTGAAGAACCATGAGCTATTGAATGCATTGTATTTTTTAACTGGTCACAACTACGTGGTTACTTGTATACACGAAGATGTCTCAGACAACCAACCACTAGCTGAAAACAAAAAAGCACCTTGAAAACTTGCAGAGTTACGCACAATTGTAAAAATATTTTGTATACCTCAGTTTTTTTCACTGAATACCAGCAACTTAATTTTAGATTATCTATTTAATACTGTGTATTTTGGCCTTATTATTGTTTGTAACACTGTTAAATAAATAGCAAAGTTTAAGAGCTTCTTCCTTCCCCATCATCTTCCACATAGTTAAGAATTACAGCACTAGTGATTACATTCAAAAGGGAGCTTAATTACGTGGGATTTGTAGCAACTGTGCCTGATAGACAATCACAACACAAAAGTCTCAATTCAAGAAAGCACGTAAATACATTTAATGAAATAAAGACAGCCTCGTGCAGGCTTTCTGTGGAACCTGAACTTACTTTCAGTCAAGCCTATAGGAGAATCCAGATTTTCATGAGCTCTTACTGTGTGTTCTTCACCAAAGTCCAGATCTGCATACCATGGGATGTATGTGGATCTCTTCTGTCTAATTAGCATGGTTATTTGTGTTTTTAACAAAACACTTCATCTGGGCGGTATATTGAGCAAAAAAAGAACAGGGTGGAGTCACTCTGACCACCCTCTCCTGCAGATTAACCAGGGAGGAGTGTGACAAGACAGAGCTATCATCAACATTTTTCACCTTTCTTCTGTACTCAAAAAAGCAATCATTTTTTAAAAGAAGAGATTAGTCACACTCTTAGGTTATAGATATGTGTGAGGAGCCCTTTCTACTCGAGATAAAAATTTAGGTGCACAGTTAACATGGTTGCAAGCAGAAATCTATCAAATTTATCTGAAGTTGTCTATAGAACAAACTGTAAGTGAAACTTCTGCAAAATGTTTTCAACAAAACCGGTATTTTTGAAGTCTGATAGTAATTGGTTAAATGTGATTTGAGCATTAGGTGGCATAATTCTGATTTCAATAAAACGAGTCCCAATGCTTTTTTCCATGCTATGCATGTGAAATTACAAGGTCTGCTACCATAAACACTGTAATTTTTAGATACACTACATGCCTGATCTTCAGTACATACTTTTCAAGAGTCACTATTCTCCGATAGCTGGATTTAGGTAATCAGGCTTTTTATTACCACATGCAGCAGATACACATGCAATGAGTACATCGAGGGAGAAGACTGGTTTTAGGTGTTGCTATTAGTATTATTTTAATGTTTTACTGTGAAACTGTTTCTGCTGTACTACCAATGTGCAACTGTGCCAAATTATAATTTACAAAATGTGACAAAAAGCTAATGTCTTAACTTCTGCCACGAGTAACATTAAAAACGGTTATGAACTGGTCTGCTCCTCATCTTTCCCTTCACTGCACTCGCCGGCCGCACGCAGCCATCGAAGGTTTATTTAATAAAGTCATCTGGAAAGCGCCCCCGAAACTGGAACAAGTGATCTGGCGTCCTATTTTCCCCCACTCCTCTCCCGCACGCAGCCCTTACCGCGTTACCGGTGCCCGTTCCCCGCACCCTCATTCCCCACTGGC